ATAATATAAATATATATAAACTGTTCTTAAATCTTAATTTGAAGAGAAAGGAAAAAAAATAATTATTATTTTAAAATAAAAAGAATATATTAATAATGAGAAGGTAAGATAATTAATTTTGATAATCTTTAATTAATAAATAGGATAACTAATGGTAGGAGTAATAAAAGTAAAATAGAAAAGTGACGTTGAATCTAATATACCTGGAGTGTACATTCTATAATACATTCTATAACTATTAATAAAGTGTGAATCATGTAATAGTGGGTGATTTCATTTTTTATTAATAGTTATAAAGTGTATAATTTATTTTATAAAAACCTTAATTTAAAGTATTTAATAGCAGTTTAATTTTATTATATCCATACGTCTTTAGGAAATGCTAAATCAACTGTAGTTAAAAATAGCAGTCCTCCATTTTTTCAACCCTCCCCCCCTTTTTTATCGTTATGTTTCATTAATGTCTTTTCTTCTCCTCTTCCTTTTTCAGTTTTTCTAACGGAATGTCTTTTCTTTTGAAAATAATTAATGTCTTTTCTATTGGTCAAATGACACTAGCATGAAGATTTTTATGGGAAGACTACCGAATTATTGGGGGTATCGTACAGTATTAATGATTCAAGCATATGTATATCAATAACTCTATAAATTAAAATGATATATATATTTTTATTTTAGTTACATAATGAGAAATAATTATTTTTTATCTTTTATTTTATTTCACTTGTATTTTATGTAACTTGAATTCAGAATTTTTTATTCCCAACAAAAAGAGATAATCACTTAATTATTTAAGTTATTGACAAAATTATACATTTAATTACTCCAATAATTTTTTTCTTTTACAATTGCTCCAATAATTGTTTGTTCACAAAAACCAAACCAAATTTATAAGAGTGTTTGTTTGAAAAATAAAAAAATACTTACTATAGTTATTAATTTTTATTGATCAAATTAAATATTTTAAATTATAAATAATAATTATTAATAATTGATATCAACTACATTAAATAGTTAATCCAAATCCCCTCTTATACTTGCTGAGACTCAAACTTGAAAACCAAAAGTAACAGAAGCCTCCACTTAAGACAAGCTCGTTGGAGGTAGAATGAAATTATTGAAAATCAAAAGAAGATTTTTGTGGTGGAAATGTTTTTGATTGCTCAAAGGAAAAACAAAAGTACCCAAAAAAAAAGCCGGCATCATGTTTGCAATGTTATAGCCAAGAAATTGACCTTGTGATGTGATTATGCTAGGGCAAAAGAGACAGTGAAGCTTTCTTTGAGGACTCTAAGAGTGGGAAAGGACGAATACAGGAAATAAGTGTGGAGAGAAGTGAGCTTAGAAATTAAGGGCATCAGATGCATGCAGGGTAGGTCTTGAGCATACGCATGTGGTATATCGAGCAGGACACATGACCCCATCACGATGCTGTGTCCTCCATTTTTCTTGTCTTCTCTCTGGTCACAATTAATCTTTGAGACTCACGTGTACCTAACGAATGGACGATGGCACTTGGTCTCTTGGGCAAGGTGATAGCGAACCAAATTCTTCAGTAATGAGAATTGAATTCAAATCCTTAATATAACAAATTCTCATCCCAAAAATTTTCGTAATCAAAATAATAATAATAATGATATAATTATAATATCATGTTAAAATAAATAAGTATATCAATATAACTAACAAGATCTTAAATTAAAAAATAAATTATATAATAATACATTAAAATATCAAATTAACATTATAATTATATTGTTAAAAAACAAAAAAATTAAAAAAAAATGGACGATAATACATGGACACTTGCATGCCACCTGATCAACGACTGAGATTGAATCTTCGGCATTTCATTCTGCCTTCACTTTTTAAGGCATAAAAATAAATTTTCTAAATAATGAAATCCGTTTTGCCGTAGCCGAATTTCAGTAGGAATTAAAAAGGTGTTTCTGAAAAGAAGCTCAACTAGTACTCACAAACGGCCTTATCGACAAATATCAGTAACAAGATAAAAAGTTTCATTTAAGTTACATATGTTAATTTTTATTTTTTATTTTTGGTAAACTTACTAGTCCGTTAAATTCATATTTTGAGAAGATTAGGTACATATTTGATCCTCTATTACACTTTTATCCCCTTATAAAATTTGGGTTACATTCGCCTCTTTATTTTGAAAAAATAGACAAGAAAAAAAATGTTGGAAAGGTAAGATGAATATTAACCATCAAATATCTAAGAACCATGCATTTTTTATGAAGGTGCATGTATGTTCCCAATCAATGCTTCAATTGATTAAAAATTTGGGACCTTTTTTTTCGTAAATATTATAAATTTAAAATTTTAAATCAAAGGTAAAAGAATCGAAGAAAAAAATATTTTTTTATACAATTTATTGTTAGAGATACTAAGAAAATGAGAAAAAATAAAAACACCCACATACATAAAATTAAAGTGGCATACTTAAAGTTGAAAAAAGACAACTAAAAGATGTTTAAATTATAGATTGAAAAAAGACACCTCATATAAATGTTTACATCATAGGCTTGGTCCTCAAACCTCTGAATTAATATCAAATATTCACCTTACTAAAATGGCCCCCCAACATTTTCAAAATGACCTTATTCCGTGCATGAGTAGTTCCATATGTGGTAAGAGACTTGCACATATTGAAGCTTGAAGAAAGAGACATTAGTGGAGGAGGTAAGACTTAAGAGATAGAAACATATAATTGAACAGAGGTTTCTATATAATTGAATGGAACGGTAAGGAATGTCACGTGGGCAGACTTTCTCCTCCCGATGAATCTGTGCAGGTCCCATTAAATGTCATGTTGAATTTCTAACATCACTTGGAATGGAAGTGACTAACCAAAGGACTACTTCAAGCCATTTCTTTTGTTTTGAAAATAGGCAATAAAATATGTCAAGCCATTTCAAAAAGGTGAGATATGATTAAAAGTTAGGTATGATTAAAAGTTAGGCATCATTTGACATTTCTTGTCAAGAAAAAGAACCAAATTAATTTATAATTATCCAATTAATAAGCATTAGATATCCAACTAAAGTGTATAATTCACGTAAGTAAGTGATATAGAACTTGATTTAAAATTATTTATTTTTTATGAGTGATATATTTGAATTTTATAG